AAATGGAGTAGTTTGAAAATGAAAAAGGGCTGTTATACTGCATGTATCTGAGAAGGAAAGAATGACTGACTATATAGTCTATATATTAATAGTTCTTCACAGTGAGACTGTCAATCCCTAATCAAAAAATGAAACATATCTACAAAAGGGAGCTAGTGTCAGCTACCAATTAGTAGTATGATGCAAGAAAAAAAGACATGAAAAGGATCATGATTATATCAACACTTACGCGTGCACGTACGGAAGTAACATTCATTAGGGATCAGGCAGGCGGGAGGGGGAGGAGGGGATGGGTAAATTCACACCTAACGGATGCAGTAAGCACGGTCTGGGAGGGGCATGCTTGTAGCGCTGACTTGGGTGGTGCAAATGCAATAGTAACCCAAACGTTTGCACTCCCGCAAAAGTTTTGTAAAAAAAAAAAAAAAGGATCATGATTATAGGGCATATATGTTATGGAACGTGTGGTAAATTCAAGTAAAATCATAGTTCTAATGTTCTATTTGGAAGTTAGTGCTGTACAGATGAATGTGATTTCTGCTAGGAAATCTGTAAAACAAAGTATTTGGAGTGCTTTTTCTTTATCACTTCTAGCTACTACCAAAATGGATTGGTAAAAGTAGTCATAAAACACAGAATAATTGCTCTTAATTTTCCCTCTCACTGAAATCTGAAAAGTAAAAATTATTCAGAGGACATTACCACTGCATTAGGTTGTCCAGGAGTTGATACTGGGAACATCGGCCGGGGATAAGATGGCCCTGCTGCGGCTGGTGGAGGTGAAGGTGCTGTGGGCGTGGCTACAGGGGCTGGAGTGGGTCTGGACTCAGTGATCTCGCCCATCTGTTTCAGCTGGACCAGTTTGAGAGCGTCCCTGGAAATAAAAGGGAAGTAGATAACCATGATTAGCAGGCAAAGAATCTAAGAGAGCTTTCAGAAAATGCAGGTGAGATATGGAGGGAAGATACAGAAATACAGAGATGTCAAGGCTATAACGCAAAACCAAGTATTTGAGCTAGAAAATTAATCTGTCTCTTACCTGGCCTGCTGATTCATATTATTTGTCCAATGGCTACAATATTTGTACATTTTTAAAAACCAAACAATAATTAGAATTTTAACAACATATTGGGTATAGACATAATTATTGAAGAGGAAATTAGTTTTTTTTCCTGTGGATGGATGCCACTTGGTAGATGAGCAATTCATTAATTAAACTATAACCTCATTCTTTATACTAATAAAATAATTTTCACATAGCATTCAAAAAGTGTCAAGTTTATTGTACCTTTAAATAGGATATTTACTATATTATTGTTTATTCTAGTACAAATCAGCTTACTTATGGCCAGGAAATCATACCATTTTTAATTTTGCTCTACATGCTATCAGTACAACCTAATATAATAAATCTAAT